CGGTGTATGATAAATTGACATTCATCATACAGGGCGTGGAAAGAAATTCTGAATTGAGACTCTATCACGAATCTGCGATTAGAGGTCTATAAAAATCACAAGTTTCCATCGTTCAATTTCAGAAGTTTCTATATTTTATTTTCAAACTCTTATCGTGTTTTGTTCAATAGATATAATTCAATGTTCGTCGTGGCATATAGCCAGGAAAGTAGTTGTTTTCTATTGAATAAACTGAAGAAGAGTAGATATTCTCATCACATAGAGAATGCGAATTCTCAATGTATTGCTTTATATAAATATATATCCATTTTTGTATGTCCATAATTTATCTGAGAATATTCCTTTTCAACACTCTCAATGTATTGCTTTATATAAATATACAGTGTGTCCACCTTAAGAACTTACCACCCCTGTAAAATCGTTACTATCCGACCAATGTCAAGAAACCTTTTCTTGTTGGATAGGTATTTGGAATGCTTATCCAACGAGAGAGTGATCTAATTCTTGGACTGTTATCGTGGCCAACTGCGACAAACTTCAATGACCCATATTCCAGAAAGTACTATTAGGGATTTTTTTTCACGAAACTTAATGATGGATTCTGAATCAGTACCACTTGGAATATACCTGTACCAATTTTCATCATCATAAAATACAGGGTGTCCGAAAAAACGAATCATCATTTTCTTCAAATAGGTGATCAGCAAATGTAGTTCTGTGGTTTTTCTAGAAAGAAATAATCACAAATTATCATCGAGGATTATTTCAAATATACCTGTACCAATTTTCGTCATTTGAATATACAATGTGTCTGAGAAAAAAATTAAAAAGGATAGGTAAGCAATATTTTTCATCCTGATAATTCTTCACTCAAAATAAAAAGATGAATCAGGATCACTTGGAACATACCTGTACCGATTTTCATCATCATTAAACACAGGGTGTTCGAAAAATCAAATTAATATTTTTTTTGAGTTGATGAAAAAATATTGCTTACTTTTTCTTTTTAATTGTTTTCTCATACACATCGTATTTTTGAATGATGAAAATCGATACAGATATGTTCAAAGTGATCCTCAATAATAATGTGTCATCAATTCTTCTCAAAAATACCACAATACTATATTTTCTGATCACCTATTAAAAAAAAAACATAATTCGTTATTTCGGAGACCCTGTGTTTTATGATGATAAAAATCAGTAAAGGTGGTTTTCAAGTGATCGTGGTTCAGAATCCATCATTGTTTTTTGTGAAAAACAATCTCTAATAGTACTTCCTCAAATATGAGTCAATAAAGTTGGTCGCAGTTGGCCACGATTACAGTTCATGAGTGAAATCACTCTCTTGTTGGATGGATATTTCAAATACCTATCCAACAAAAAAAAAGTTTTTTGAAATCGGTCAGACAATAACAATTTTACAGGAGTGGTAAATCGTTAAGGTGGACACACTGTATATCCATTTTTGTATGTTCATAATTTATCTGAGAATATTCCTTCTCAACACCCTGTATATGTTTTTCGATATTTCATTTAGTTTTGTTTTTTCTGATGTTCATTTGTCTCGAACACACTGTATATGTATTCATTTTTCATCCAACTCATACGTCAACTGTCACACGTCATCGGTTATCTGTCACCGGTCATCAACTGACATCTGTCATCGGTCATCAATGAACTCAATAGTCGGTCATAGGTCATCGGTCATCAAATTGCAGAATTTTAAAACTGCCTGATGTCATAAATTATACCGGGCATAGTTTCAGAAGAACCTCGGCAAGTTTACTTGCAAATTCTGAAGGAGACATTCTTGCTTGGAAGTCTACGAATATCGCTGAAGGGTATGTGCAGCAATCTCTCACAAAATAGCAAAATATTTCGAACCAAATTGTGGGTCACTGAAGTTTTTTATGAAAATATCAAGAAAACTGCATTGGCTCCTGATCTCATCTCTAGTGGTATTTAAATAACCACTGCTCAAAACTGCATTTTTAACATTAGTTGATATAATTATTACTCTACCACAAATTGAAAATATGTAGGATGCAATAAGAGTGAAAATAATGTGCCCATAAAGTTATACTGTATACCTATTTCTTTGTTATACTTTCATCAATAAATTATTTGGAAATGACTTTTTATTTGAGGGAGACGAAAAAATCATATGTATAACATGGGGATAAAGTATATTCTATTCTTCATTTTCCTGCAATTTCACGTATTACTTTTTATCAGCCTACTTTTCGTCCTAGAATTAGTTACTCCATACATTTTTCTCCGAGTTGGATTTCCGAAAATATATTTAGCACACATAACATGAGTACAGTATTTCATATACCCACATCGAGGTTTTCACCATTTCTCAAACATAAGTCTCAGCTCATTCAGACTGAATTGACTGAATGAATTCTGATTTCAAGCTGAGCCCTGCACCGATGACTGATCGTGACTGAACAAGTGAACACGCTGATAAAACTAGAGGATTGTTCGACTATATCTTGGTATAGTTGAATCAGGAATTCCATGTGGAAATTACGTATGATACGCCAATGACCTCAATATAACCTAAAAAACAACAAATGTCAAAAATCTAGTGTTTATTCCCAGAATTGAATAAGGATGGAACTATAACTATATAACTGTTTCACAAACACCTTAGAGTGAGAGGAGACGAGGATCTGTCCGCGAGAATTGACCAGCCCCGGGGTTCATCGCGGGAAAGAGAAGGACGTATAACTCGCTCTCGCTCAGATGAACCTTTTTTCTTGAAGAAGGAGAATTTTTCTTGAGGAAGGAAAATATTGTTTCTGCATAAAAAATGAGAAAACCTAACCTATCTATTTTATGAGTATATCTGTACTTGTTTCGTTGACCTGTGTAAAACTTAATGTTTATTAACACCAAATAAAATATTCTATTCTATTCTAACCTAACCTAACCTAACCGAACCTCACCTCTGGCCTAAACCACAAACATAGAAAACCCCTAAATGAACCTATTTCCCATAGAGAATATTTTTTAGAAATCACTTGAGAACAAGAAAAAAATAAAAAAAAGATGAGCCTCGCACGGATTCGAACCCCGGCCCGCCGGCTTGGCATGCCGATGCTCTGCCTACTGAGCCAACCAGTTGCTTACAGAAGCTCAACTGTGCTTCGGCTATGTGCCAAATGCATTCTCGCGAGTGAGAGGGCATTATATGTCCTTCTCTCTCCCGCGATAAACCCCGGGGCTTGTCAATTCTCGCGATCTGCGAGTACCCTGCTCGGTACCCTGTTAAAATGACTTTAACGTCAATAAAGGACTCTACCGCGACTCTCTAACATAGTTAGCGAAACACGTGTCGAGGTGTAAAAAATCGGTTTGGTTAGTGGTAAAACAGTCTGTCGTCCAAACTATAATATTCATGCATCAATTTCATTACCCCAAGTTTAAATTTTTTTCGTTGACCCCACCGACCGAGCCACCGACTTATAGACTAATCTAGACCGCCAATTCTATAAGGAGAAAGGTGAGCCACTCAGAAGAACGAACTGGTAATCTTAGATGTAGCCATCTTAAGATGAATCAGCATGGGATCAGTCATGTTACACTCCTGAATCTGAAGAACATAGGCGTATCGAAGGAAAGAGGTTGGGAGGGGTCACCATACATAGATTAGTGAGAAACGAATGACATATGCCGTTTTCAGGTCTCATAGCTTCCAAATACTCAGATTTGAGAACATTCTTTTCAAAAACGGCGAATTCGCGCATGGTTTCAATATCTATAGACTTGCCTGGAAACATCAGGAAGCTGTCTGGTGTAAAATGGTCTTGTAATTGCCTCAAACCTTCATTTCTCTAATCCTCATGATTTCTATTGGATGAGTAAACTTCTTTCAATCAAAAATAAATGAGCAGGTATGGCACCTCACGCCTGAACTCAAATTCTTCACAGCTGATTCAATATACAAAACATGCATGATACCAAATTTGATTTGAATACTTGCTAACCTGATGAAAGCAAATTAAAATAATAAATTATTCATTACCCACAAACTCACCGATGAAAAGAAACATCTTTAGTATAAGTAATCATGGAATTCTTAAGCCAAAGAACAAACCACTTCATATTTTCTAGGATGGCGAAAATAAAACGAGAAAATTAATATCACCACTTGATTTCGATATTATATTTTTATTAAGCTGTCCACTGATATAAAATAAACACTCCATCCACCTTGCTGCCGCCTATGAACAATATGGATACTAGGTTGATTTCGATACCACGTCAAAGTCATGAAGGACAGCTTGGGGGTGCCTGTGTATTGAGCAGAAGCGTTTTCAGGCGAGCAACAGAACCTAGATTTTCGGGTTGCTGCGATCTAACTACTAGTAGTCTAGGTAGTAACAAGTCGTTGGTTGACCCGTTCAAAAAAAGGGAGGGGGGCATTGAAGAAAAGCACTGAATATAATATTCCATCATTATTTCATAATCCTGGAAAGAGAAGACTTATTCAGAATAATCAGAAATTGATTTTTTTCCATAGTGAATTTGTCGACCCGATTTCTGTGTCTGTGATTCGATCACTAAACACCTAGAACAACATATTTCAAGAACTCCTTCTTTTGTAGGACATCTTCACTGTGGAATTCTTTACCCACAAATGTATTTCCAGCGAACTATTTACCTTCAAGAGGAGGATCCATCGATATTTGTCCCTCCTTAGTGCTCGCAGTTCCACCACGGGATTATAGGTCCAAACTTTTGCGAGCACTTCCGAATAAAAAAAAAAAAAGATTCAGAGATGAATATTTCAAAATCTTATCTCAGTGATTGCTGAAGATATGGTGATGATCTCATGAACTGAAACTGTAAATTATTGGGAATTGTGTATTTGATAATTTTAGGGAATAAAACTACAAGATATATAGGTAATCATGGTAATTTAATAATGTATTCATATGGATAATCTGAATTTGTCAATGTTAAAATGATTTCAAAATGAAAAATTAAATAAAGGTGATAAAATCTTTTATTCTCCTAATATTCATATATACTGCATGTTCTCCTTAAAATATTATATGATCAATAATTATTATGATTGTAATGCATATGTTTTATCTCTCTCTAAAATATATATCTTATTTCTAAAATATGCCATCAACACAAAAACTTAAACATTTAAAATATACAATGTATATGAATACTCTGAAAAATATAATATTTCTATTAGCTATATAATAACATAACATATAAGAAGAAACACCTATACAGTTAAAACTTAAATGAAAGACTTAGAGGTAATGAAATGAGTGGATTACATCAATACAGGATGATCCAAAATTTACAGGTTATGAGTCACCTCATGGTAAAATTGATATAGGTATTATGTAGATTCTCTTAGGTGCAGAGGATTTCATATAAATGTAGGAAGTATTTACAGCTATAAGACCCAGAAATGGTTTGAACACCATAAGTGACACCTTTCAGATATATTTTTCCTGAAGAGACCTCAATTAAACTTACGAATCATTCTTGATTTCAGTTGAAATAATCTGTCTATTTACATTGATTTTAAATCGAAAGATTCAAATCACTCATATTACAGAGTTCCTGATTTTGATTTTGTTATCTCGTTTTTGATGTTTTTTTTTGTTATCTCGTTTTTGATGTTTTTTTTTTAATGATAGTAATTTGCATGTAGGTATGTTTCGAGAAAAATATATCAATACGAAACAACAGAATAGTGAGACACATTCAATTCAATATCATCAATCTAAACTATTCTGGATATTGCCTACTTAGAGGAAATCAATAAGGGATGGGAAAACATTCAGATAAAATGAAAGTGAAAGTACTCTTATGGCTCAAAAATATTGGTGCTTTTCAAGGTAAGGTAGCGCGACAATCTACATTTTTCTGCACTTTGGATCAGAGATCTCTTGTCTTACAAATCGTTTTTCTATATATATATTCAAGTCCAACTTGAAAATATCCAGAACACAGCAAACAAACAAAGTTTTGAAAGCACATGTATGTTGGCATTTTTTGAGTGAATAAATCCATTTTTCATTACATTTCCTGTTGTTGCCATTGTGTTTTTCTAAATATGATTAAACTTTTCATCATCATTTTGATTTGCTGTGTTTCATCAACAATTGTTTCCATACACTAATCTCATGTTAGGCAATAACACAATTCACAAATTCAACGAACAAACACTTATTTAATAATATAAACTTATATTTAGTAATAACTGCCCTTACTTCACTAGATATAAATAAAAAATTATGATTGCTTTTGTTTGGGACCTTAACGAGTTAACAATAATTCAATGTCGATCTTATTTTACAAATTTCGGTTTGTCTCATCCAAGATGGTGTCATTACAATTGATTATCTATAGTATAATAAAGTACCTCATAAGTTCTTTCAAAAATTTTCGAAAAGAAGATCCCCAGAAGAGGACCTTATATCTTCGCTTTTCATTTATTGAGAAATGATTCAATACCAGTGTCAATTAATTCTATTGGGTGGTAACTAAACTGGCATCGGAAATAAATGAGTTCAAATAAAAATTACTATAAACTCTTCTGTAAGAACACCTTTCGGGTATTGTATTCAAAAACATAAGGAAAGTGCTCGTTTTTCTTTGGCAAATAAAAACTATGGAAAGAATTGCGATTCAAAACCTTGAATCATTGAGTGCAAACTGTTTTGACACTGCATATTGACTTTGGAAGTGGCTGAGGTCATTCCAGGGATCACTAGACTACTTTAAAAGAGCTTCCTCGACCGACCAAAATCTCGTTTTATTCGAGACTGGCCAAAGGTTCAGTCGTACGGTCCTGGAGCCCTGTACTGGCATACAATATCTAGGCTTGTCACATACTGTGGGCACCAATACCGCTTTGCGACGAGAAAACTCTTAAGAACACAGATACAGCTTGATTTGATTGATCTCTGATCGGACCAACTATAGTTTACGGGTCGTCTTCGAATTTTGAAGATAATGCCATTCTGTAATGCCAGCTATGGAGGCAAACTGTCATCTAAGAGGTGGAGCCTGGACAGGGCCTGATAAAAGATTGGTAAGAAAGTCGTCTAAAAGCTGCTGGCTAGATTCAATTCGAGTAGTCCAGCCACTAATATATTGATTGATATATTAATTCTTAGGAGACTTATCTCTTTCAAAGAAAATGGCAGCACACACCTGTTTAACTAAGCCAAGTGGATAGAAGTATGAAGACGATCAATAGCTGTATTTGCGGCACTAGACCCTGACTGGTCATTCCAGTGTTAGTAATAAAAATTTCAAATCAGATATATAAAAAAACATTGGTTCACGGCAAATGGCGACTTGAACTTTTTCGAATGATTTTCGACAGTGAGTAATTGGTGAGCTTTCCCGTAAATTTTTGGGAGTAAATCGGTGAAGGCCAGTAGGCAACCCTTATATATTGCACTGCCCTGAGTGCTTCGCATGAATCTCACGGCTAGGATACAAAATGGCGGAATCTAGTCAACGTTCGAAGACGCCCCACAAACAGAACGTGTGATCCTTTGATCATAATTACAAAAACAAAATTACCGTTACATAAATTGTACTTCCATCAAGTGGCTTGAGATCAGGGTAGTCCGCACCCTACGAGTCCTGGGAACCAAAACAAGAAGAAAAACAACACCGAGCACTGTGCGGGTCCATGACACTTCGCCGAACGGACAATATAATAGTGGGCAGTTGGACACTTTGCCGAAAGTAGTAATTATGCCTAAAAACGCCAGTGGACCAGTTGCCGCTTCATTTCTCGCTTCGTACTGGAGAAATAAAAAAATGGAACCAAACATTTGCTCGTTACTCAACGTATTGAGAGAAACAAAATCAATGCTACAAACGTTATAAATATATTCCAAAACGTGTTTATGTAATTAACGAAATACTCATTGGTAAATATACTATATGAATACTATTTAATTTTGACTGATTCACACACAAGCTTTTGAATCTCATCGAGTACCTAAAAATGGATGTACTAAGTGTATGACTATTCAACGCTTGATACTCAAGAAACTCAAAATTAAGAAAAAAATTGCATGTCCCGCTTTTGTAGTTACTACTTCTCCGGATATATAAACTCGTTAGATTTAAATAAAGGCTGAATCGAAAAAAAAATATATTATTTATTGAATGAAGGAAAAAGTTTTATCAATTTTTCAATCAACAGAGCTCCAGATATGTAACATCCTGTATGTCAATCAAGAAGGTATGGAATGTTTAGTATGCATAATAGTCCTTTTAGTGTGTATACAAAACTTTTGAGTTTGATATCTAAAGACAATATTGAAATATACGTAAAAATAAAAATTCAATTCACACACAAAAAAATTTCGACATTTTATCCGTTGACGGTAACAAATGTTGATGACGTTCGTTGTGCCGGTTTCGAAAAATTAGCCAATAACACCGTTTCCGAGAAAAAACTGCATGTCTTTTTCATTTTCCATTCCAGAAACCTTGAATAAGTACGCAGTTTTTAAATCACACAGAATTTTATTGACAGAGGTATTTGATTATTCCAAAAGCTTTCCTTAGCAACGCAGGGCCAATTGTCGCTATAGGTTACAGCCTACCAGTTAAAAACTTCAAAATTTAATATAATGTAATATTTTTTCAATATCAAATCGTCGGTTTTTCCGTCACAGAAAAAATATTGTATTCTTGGTTTTTTTTTGTCTTTCGACGCGAAGCATAATAACCACTTCCGGCGAAATGTTCAAATAGCTGTTTCGGCGTTTTCATCACCTTTGGCGAAATGTCTAAATAGCATGACCACTTTCGGCAACTCGTCCACTGTCGTCTCTCGACATAATGATCACTTTTGCGCTTATAGACCAGAAGACTGCATACCTTTTCAAGGCTTTATAATTAACCCCAAAATATGAAAAATAGACGGGTTTCTGGCCGCATATGGAGCAGCGCTTTTCTTTTTGTGAAGAATTTTCGTTTTTTTCCGCAATATTATACTTCCTGCCGTTGTATTATACGGAAGTTCAAACAAATTGAAGCGCTAATCCGCAGCGGCCAAAAGGGCACCTACGATTAAAACATTATACAATTGAAGTATCTTTATATTGGCATGCAGTTTGGAATCACTGAAAACCAGTATTAAATGTTTACAGAGTTTTCCCGAAATTCTCATACGTCATACACGGAAGTTTTTCGTAACCCTTTTGAGCCCTTCGGCCGCTGCGGATCGCGGAAAAACACGAAAATTCTTCACAAAAACAATACCGCTCCTCCTTTTGAAGTGCACACCCGACTATTTTTCATATTTTGGGGTTAATTATGAAGCATTCAGAAGGCATGCAGTGTAATAAAATGGGAAAACGTCACCTGTCACCATCTATTTGACCGAACATCCTACGACTTGTCCATTCGGCGAATCGTCCGCCCCAACGCACGGTTAGCGTCCTCAGCGCCATCACTCGGCGAACCTGGTACACGCCTTCTTCCACTTGCACTGCGTGCACCACTGCTCCTTGTGTTCCATGCCGTACACCTTCCGGCACTTCTTATTCTCCCCCCGCACCCTCCTAGGCGACAGCGGCACCTTGGGGCTGTGGGGGCGCGGAGACAGCTTGAGCAGCTTGTGCGGCGACTGCGGCAGCTGCTGCTGGCTGAGCAGCGTCTGGCGCATGGTGCCGACCAGCAGTCTTTGGTAGTCGGGGTCCTCGTGGAAGGGTCTGGCCATGTCCTGGTGGGACAGGGTGGGCGGCGGGCTGGTCAGGCCGAGCTCCACCTCGGTGTAGTAGAACTCTTCTTCGGCGTCCTGGCACACCTGGTCCCTGGAAGAAGGAGAGGTGATGGTTAGGGTGGATTAGGGGGAGATCGACCAGCGGGAGATTCGGAACCACTGACATAACTATACCTTTTCAACTTCAATTTCAAAATCGGTGAGTTATATGTCGGAAAAGGTAAACTTGTTTTCAGAAATGGTTAACTTAATTCCAGAATTGGTGAGTTGAATTTCAGAAAATGTCCATTCAATATCAGAAACGGTAAGTTATATTTCAGAATTGGTTAGTTCAATTTCAGAAAGAAAAGTTCAACTTGAAATAAATAATCCTGATTACACATTCACTATCGTGAATTGAATAGGTCACTATATGAATCTTAGTTCATAGGATGATGAGAATGCATTTAAAATGGGCATCCTACAGATACCATAGTGGTAGTTCTGGATAATGCACCTGCATATTCAAGAATATATAGAGGAGATTTGCATGAAGGAAAGATTTCAAGATGTTCTTACACATTATGGAATACCTTCAAGTCAGTGAAAAGCTTCTTGCGAGAGCATCACCAAAGGGTGATAGCCGGGGATCCAAACAGATTGCTTAGCCAAATAGAATGCAGACTGTGATGTTTTGAAAAAAGTTCAATGAGAACATATCTCAAAAGTGTTTGAATTCGTTTAAATCATGTGCAACGCCACTATCCTTCTGCGATTCGAATGGAAGACATGCCTGTGTGGATCAATTAAAGATTGAGTTTAGTATATATGTTATTTAAAAAAATATGTCAAACAAATATAAGGATTCAATTTCTGAAATACAACTTACCATTTCTGAAATTGAATGGACTTTTTCTGACATTTAACTACTCAATTCTGAAATCGAGTTTACCTTCTCCGAAATATAACTTATACCGATTCCGAAATTGAAGTTGAGAAGGTATAGAGTCACTGGATGGTGTGAGTTATACCGGATTCGACGCGGTATAGATGTATATTTAGCACTAAACTGACTTCGGACAGAATTATGATTGAAAATTGAGGAATGAAAATTTCATAATGTCAAGAAGTGGCAAATGGGGTGTCATTGTACGCACATGGAATGAGTACAAATATAAGTACCAGGTGCCCCATTTAAAAAAAGAAAATATGGGTCATTTCCGATCAAACCGGAAGCGATAGAAAACAATTGAATACGTATAATAATGAATATTTATGAACCATACGTACACCACAGTTGACGGAAAAAAAGTTATAGGGTTGAGCCACTTTTGGAAAACACACGGACTAAAGTTTAGTGGTCAGGATAATTTTGCAGCATTCAATGCGTTTCCCTCTTTGGTATTGTAGATCAAATCCGTGGTGGCATGTTAGTGCATGCGAACTAGTTATAGCAGGAAATAGGAAATACATCAAGTAGAACAATTTATAATAAGCTTAGCAATTTCATTAAGACAGGAAATATTAAAGTTGAAGTTATTGATGGAGCTTGCAATGGTATGCAAACGTTCCTACGTTTTCAAATATACAAAGAATAATAAACATTAACGATTTCAAATAGCTCCAACCATGAAACTGTTGGCCTAATTCAACTGGGCTAAGCCGCAATAGCCAAAGAATGTTTTCTCTCTGTTTGAGCCCAACCCAGTGTCATGAGGTCACAGATCACTTTAATGAGAAGTGTATAGAAGAAATATATTATGCTATCGTGAGCAAAACGAATTAAACTAGGACAAAATGGGTGGATGGCTCTGGTAAATGCATAAGGCAATAGGTATCGATACGATCATCGTTCGTTATATGAAATGAAAAAAAAATTAGTTACCTGTTAAATCTTGTCGGCACAATCAAAAGCTTGATTCTATACTCTTCAGATGGCGCCTTGTTACAAACGGTTACATTTTCGCGTTTCATGTCATTTGACTATTCGACGATGATGTTGGATTAGGATTAGGAATCACTGGATGATTGTCAAAACTTGTATGGAAATATTTTCAAAGAATTATGACCCTTCAATTCTATAAATAGAATGTTTGAGTATTCTTATATTGCTATGACACTCATATGATCAAAACTGACTGACATTTTTTGTTTGCTAAGTAAGGCTAGAAGCTAATACAGTTCGGAGATAAATGAGTTAAGCGGCGATCACAACCAAACATTTTACGTTTCGGATTCTGATTGGTGAAGCAGATTCTGAAATTAAACGTGAGTCGAACTTATGCAAATGTCAAAAATCAACGTGACTTTTTACGGCTTTTCTCAGTTGCCTCTTGGTTTTGTCATTTGTGTATCATCCTGAAATGAAGTTAAATAATCATAACAATGATATTAATGAGATAATTAACAATATTCATAGAACTGCCGGTGACGTAAATTGATCCTTATTCAATACAAATAATAAATTGAACAGTATACCTATTTAATATTCCGTGGATTCACGAAAATATCATTAGCAAAAACATTATCATAACTTCTATATAGAATGTTTCATACATTGTATCGTTCTATCAGAACTAACAGTAGTAATTTTCATTCTTATAACAATATCATTTGTCTATTTTTACTATTTCCACAGACGATGACTCCTAACAATGCATAAACCTGAATATTTTCAGCTTTTTCTGCGTCATTTCAATCACAGATTTTGCTTCACCAATCAGAATACGAAACGTAAAAAGTAAAACGTAAGAAAGTTTGGTTGTGAACGCCGCTTTATTTTCTCTAGTCTACTTCGAATGCATTTATTTCTTGAATTTATAAACCAATTTGGGTTGGATTACATTCACAATTTCATATTGACAGAAACATTTTAAAATGGTCGACTTAATAATAACCTCTTGCTTTATAGTTTTTGGCAGTAACTGATTACTGATCCGGCAACAGAATCTCTCGTCGAGATGATGAAAGATAACGAAATTTTTCAAGCCAATTTCCTAATATCTGTTTGTTTACGTAACCCTGGCTGTGCCATGTTGCCGTAATCATGACACGATGTTCGCTTTCAAAACCAACACAACATGAGCTAACGTTAATAACGGATTTTTCGTGATCCGAGCAGGCCATGGCCATAGCCAAACAACCGAACGGAATCGTTAACGGTCCAAGGCCGCGTCGATTCGTTCGTCATTAACATTAAACTTGCGATAATTTTTTTTCAGCAGTAACAATGCATTTTCAAGGCAGGAAACGAGCAACGCAAGGCAACGTGCATAATGGGACTCGGTTCGGTAGTCGGTCGCCTTGAAACTATTCAAATCGTCGATTAAACTCCGGCGTCGCTGGAGATGGATATTCCAGATCAATTTGGCAAGTGGCAAGGTTCATCAAACATGCGGATTGAAGCGATCAGCGTTGCTACCACTGTTGCCACCCACCACTCTATAGTTCATCAAAACCGGCACGCAGCATATAAACTTATAAACATCGCACCATTGATTTATAATTTATACGCACTATTGCCGTGACGTCACTCATTATTCTGATTGATAGTGTAATGAAAGAGAATTAAGGATGAATGATAGATGGAACAACGCATCGATGAAAGTAGGTATTGAAAGTGTTATTTGATCGTTAACTTCATTCATTATCCTCTGATAGTAGGAGAGCCGGCTACTTTGGACCGTCATCTGATAACGAAGTGTTATATGTTCCAAAGGCATGTAAAAACATTGTATTTTATCGAACGGTACTTGTGCCAATCACTATCTTGAGCAAAATGCAATTTGCACTCAATTTCGCAATTTACCAGATGACAAGTATGCCATCTGATACCAATTGAATGGTAGATCTCAAAATTTGACCTGTGCCACCCCTTAATCTGAGTCAGATCCTTTTTATTTGCTGCATAATTACTTCCGTCATGTGATAACGAGTCGGTCCCGGTACTAGTAGAAAATCATAAGCTTTGATGAAAATTTCGAAATTTTACATTTAGAAAATAAAAGAATAGAGCGTATTATCATTTGGAAACATGAGAGATCAACAGACGCAAAAATTCCAACATTCTACTTGATGATCAACTAGAACTCTACATTTACCTGTACATGTTTGTTAATAACCAAAATCAATTTATATACAAATCAATATAGTTTCTAATGACATTTTGATGTAAATTCTAAACAATCCTTTCTACTATTTATGCGATATCGATGTTGGACAGAATATTCAACAATCTATTAAAGTAAAGATTACATATATGTGCGCCGTTAAGAATGTTGAGATGCTACGTTAAACAGGCTAATTCAATATCACATAAAATAAACAACTAAATCAAAAAACAGCACGTGCTGAACGCAAAAAAATAATTCCGGGTGTATCGTCAGGCAAGTCGTAAACAGAAATTTTGTAATAGGTATTTTGTGTGCGCACACGTTCCAATGATGATTCAAGGCTGCGTGCTCCGATGATGACGTAGTTGCAATACACACCCGCGTGTGGTACAGTGTTGACAATGAAATCTAAATCTGGCCAAGACCTACCTACCTACCCAAAATATTTCTATATCTTCAAGTGAAATGCTGCTTGTAAACAATATACGATGATAATAATAATAATATTTTTTGTGTTTGTTGATTTCTAATGATTGATACCAAATGATTAAGTGTTTTTCTTCATTTCCCACCTGTAAAATTTCGAAATTACCATCGAAACAATGATTTTTTTACATGTGTAGCAGAGATCAGGATACGCCGGACGTCAGTCTAGCCACGGTGTGAAAATTGACCCAGAAAGAATAAAGATGCTAGCAAAGAATCGTGACAGGTGACTTGATTCGGGAAGTCTGTGGTTCAGATTAGTTGAAGTTGAGTTCTTGAGTTTGGTTCATTTAGTTTTTAATTGTTATTGTTGTTCAGGTGGAAGGTGTTTATTACATGATTGGAATTGACGACTGTGTTCAATGAAACCCCACAGCCCTTACGGTAAATGTATGTTGAATTTGTTTTTTATTAAAAAAACCTTTGATGTCCGTGAATGCGGTGGTCAAATAACTTTCTACCTGTCTGACCAATATATATCTACCTAAGCACAAAATTCACAGTTCAGTTTGTATACTCTTGATTTTTAGAATTCAGAAGTTGGGTCCCTATTATTTTTTATAGATCTCCTCTAATCTTGTTTATGTAGAAATAAAGTTGATATTTCTGTCGAAGTTCTATGATTTTGATCTTCTTATTTGATGGTCGAATGAACATTTCGACTTCCCGATAGAAAATAACACGTCACCCCATCTGACGGCAACAACTCGAACACTTCTGAGCAGTTCGTTTTGATAATATGACCAATGGGCACAAACAAAAAACAGATGTGAAGCAATAAAAACAAAGTAAACAGGCCGCTTCGACTTTCGACTTTCGAGAACTCTGATAGGTGGCGTACGCTTATTTTCTATCACGAATTGGTTTAAAAAACAGGGTTCATTGGCTGATGATTTGTGATTCACCAGATTTACTGATCCCACTAGTCTAATTTCTTTGACACTTCAACTTCAAAATTAATTCTATATGGTTTTTGTAAAAATGAATCAATTCTTCATGCTTTAAAACAACCCCAGTTTTCCCAAATTGGTATGTATTTTCGAATGCTATACCAGATATCAGTCACCGGCTATACCTACATAATGATGCTGATTGTTATTGTGTATTTTCAGATACCCAGTCCTGATTGCTAGACATTTTGATAATGTTTCAACAGGAAATACACAAAAATATCAGATGTCATTCTTTGACAAGTCTTTGGGCTCTGGTGTGGGTAAGATGGGTAAGTATCCATTTTTTTTAAACTCAACCACTTCGTCTGTATTCTTGGATGTGAACAGAACAAACCAGAATGAGTTTATACCGGGTGACACAGTGTATCGGACCACCCCTGTAACTTCTGCATTCGTAAACGGATTTTTCTGAAAACTGGTACAGTTATATAAGCAACCGTTTCGGATTTGATCTTATTACAATCCAATATGGCGGACTTTCGGTTATTCTGGAAATGCCAGCAACTTGGTTTTTTCAAATGGGACACCCAGTATATTTTCACATATTCAAGTTCAACTGCTCAAAACTAGTGTAATCCTCATGTCAAATGGCATTTTTTCGAACAAATTTAAATTCGAACTGCAAGGAAATTCATGAACTAGTTGTTTATTTTCTGAATGTATAATTATAATGAGTTATAAAGAAAATTCAAAGAGCTCCTACTTTGTTCTATTTATTTTAAACTATTGATTATTGATAGTTAGGTCGTACCTATCATGGGTGATGAGTTATAAGGAGTAATATTTCAAAGCAATGCAAAGTGACCTTGAAGAATATTCAATTTTAGGGAGTAATGGAAGGTCATGTACCTAAAAAGTGAAATTCTTTTCCATGTATAGTTGGCATGAACTGTGGTATTCAATATCTCTTTGCCCGGCGACGATCGTTTGTGTTTTTTTCGTTATCGATTTATCATTCAAGGCTAATCTATACCGATTATTGAAGCCGAACTTGTCCAACAATTTTGTCTGGGTCAAAAAAATATCCATTTTTCTCTGTCCTCACAGATTAACCTAGAATCCACCGATCGATTCAATATTTTCGGTCTCCAGCTTAGACTATCTTTCTAGCCAGCCATGCCAGACACCACAAAAAATGAACAAAACAAACCCGGTCGGCGACTGCCTACCTGACTCACCCTCGCAAAGAAGAAGATGAAAAATTCCTCTTTGTGGTGGTCGTTGATCGTGGAATCGGAGGTCAAAATTCGAAAAGAGTCAACATGTGTTGGAAACAGTGTTGCCAACAGAGTTTATGTGAAAATCTGAATTTGCCAGTTCGAAAACCCCCAGAAAAACGCTAAATTCAAATGATATTCAATATTTATTTAAAAAAATGGGGTTGATCACTAAGAATTATCATGGCAATAATATGTGTCATCCTTGGTATGACTAATCAAATAAAGACATATATATTTTATGATATATGAACAAGAACATTATGAAATCCACATTGGTCAATGGTACTTAATCTAAAATATGAAAAATTTGACAGAGCGTCAACTACTGAAAGTATTGCTTGTAACCCCTGAATTATAGATACCGTAACGCACCTCAACGTTATAATCACGATGACATTTATGGATTTTCCTGAATTTGACACTCTCTGATCTTGTCATATTAATTTGTATAGGTCGCGTGCACGATGACCGATCCTAGTGGTGAAATATTGAAACACCACCTCACTTTTCTGTAAAACATTGAAACACAACCTTACTTTTCTGTAAAACATTGAAACACAACCTTACTTTTCTGTAAAACATTGAAACACAAACTCACTTCATTTATTTGTTTACAGAGGAATCAATGGATTCAAACGAATCGTGTTTTTTGCGTTATTCATTAATTCAAGCATGCCTTCTCATTGTGCTGTTGTACGATACACAAAAAATGCAGCGAGAGACGAAAGAATATGATTTTTCAGGTAGATAGTAATCTCACATGATTTGCCTTCTGAAATTTTGTCATTTCTTATTAAAAGTCCCTCTGCCACTTGCAATAGAAGCTAATACTGTTGTACAACAGCACAATGTGATGGCATGCGCGAATCAATGATAGCCGAAAAACACGATTCGTATGCCAAAATAATTGTGAGAAACTGTTTCAATCATTTGTATACAAATAAGAAAAGTGAGGTTGTGTTTCAATATTTCACCTCCAGGGTCGTCCATCTGACAGTTCTTGTACGCAACCTATTATTATTTTTGTTCGGACTTTCAAGCATCATTTTTGGAATTAGCATTTTTTCAAAGCACGAGGATCAATCTGTTCAAGCTATACCAATTCTACCAATGGGTGATAACCTGGATTATGAATATTTGACACTACTACTACACTAAAATCATTTATTTTATTTTTTCCAATCGCTAATAATCGCGATAGAAAATAATACTTCGCCCCACCTGACGACAACAACTTGAAAAAACAATAAACAAAAGTGGGTAACTTATCTCTGCAACTGTGAATCAATGGAAACAGAGCAAACGAGCGAACAGACCGCTTTGACTCAGTTCCGATAGATAGCGTGCAATTTTTGATATTGACTTTTGCCAATTATTACGTGTCAACTTCATTTTCGTTCATTTTTAATTTCTAACATTGTCTAAGATACATGATTTCTAACTTCAGATCACTGATTACGGAATATTTTTTATTAGATTCAAAATGTATTTATTAATAAATATTTTGTTTCGAAAAAACGCCAGAATAACCTCTGTGCTGTCATCAAAATCCCCAGACTTCAGAAATATCTGAAATCAATAAAACTTCACCACTAGAATCATCCTAAAAACGCCAGATCTATAGCGGCCAAACCTCTGATTCGGCAACACTGGTTGGAAAATATCGTCTCCAGCATTGGCATAGACTACAGAAGATAAACTATAAGACAGTTCACTCGTTCATTTTTCGACTTCTAAGAGATCTCGCCGCAACCTAGCCGACCGCTGGATTCTGCCGGCTAACGACTGCCGGGGCCTTTGAAATCGCAATCTAATTAGCTGTCAACCGACCGCAACCGTTTGGCGGTGCAATGATTTATAGAAAAGCAAAAAATGCAATGTTGGGCTGTACCGACAAACGGATTTCACTAAGTGAACTATCTTCTATTGGCGTATTCAGGGGCGGTACTAAAAAGACTTAGATCCAAGGAAGAACCGAATTTTGACTCAAAATTCATTTTTTTAGATACATCAATAATTTTTCATTACTATAACCAGAGAAATCACCATCATTCAAGGAATTTCTCAAAGAAGTAACGTTTCGAATTAGTTGTCCCTTTCGCTCTAATGGTTCTCACTCCAACCTCATATCAAACTTTCATCATGATTATTGAAAATGAATTCACGCTTGCAATGTTTGAAAGACTAAAACAAAAATATTTACAAAATATTATAATTATATTTGATTGTGCTCTGAGGGTCCCCCTCACTAAGGCAGCATCGACATGTAATAGTAGGAAGGTCGGCTGCCAATTTATATGTTCCAAACCGAGTTCCAAACGCATGATTGTATTATATCGAACGGCACTTCTGCCAATCACTATCCTGAGCCAAATGATCGAACAATTGCACTTTCCTGTGCGTTAATATGCACTCAATTTTCGCGATTTTATAACGAGATGTACTTACTTCAGATGTTCGCTGCGTACGTGGGCCTCTATTGTTTCGCAAGTGTTGGTTATCTTGAGACAGCTAGGCCAGGTGCATTGGAATACGATGCGTGTCAGACTCTGCAACAAAAACAAGAATAATTGATTAATTTATTAATTAGTTAATCCAACATCCATATAACTTCCAGAACAATGATGGATAATATAAAGGGTGTTTGGGAGATAGTGTCGAAAACTGATAGGAGGGATAGGTGGGGTGGTTTAAGATGGACTTGGCCCTCATACACAAGTTAAACGCAATATCGCATAGGAGGTGGTAGTTATACAATAACAAATTTCAAATTTTCTATTATTTCGGTTCACCTTGTATTGAAATCTAAGAAGTTGATATGACCAGTGAAGGGATAATTCGATGAAGGTGACATTAATAGTAATAATACTATATTTTAATTTATTGAGACTAGAGGAAATCCCGAAAGTTTTGCGAAAATAAAATGATATTAATTATTTGAATGATATTAATTATTTTGAATTGATAATTCAAAATAATAGGTATTGTACTTACACAATTTATATTATTTTGACGATGTCTGATTGGGATTATGTATTTTAATATTATCATTATTAATATATTATTATTATGGCTAGCGCGAGGGTGTATTTCGTAAATACAGTATAAATGATGTTTTTCTGTTAAAAACTAAAAATACAAGGTGATTTACATATCTGGTCTTGGCATGTCTTGGTAAAGACACTGAATCATTGTTTGATAAGAGTAAGTCAAGTAATGAAGACATAATGGAAAACCTCGTTTATTTTACTAATGATTCATACGTACAGGGTGAAATGATCCAATCCACCATGATGTTTGAAATCGTAATTCGAATAAAAGACTTTTGCAACCGGTGAGGACTGGGCCGTTTGGGCTCGGGACTGGGTGAACTTAAAATGAGAATGTTCATCTCTTCACTTTCAGTACCCGGTATTGAAATTTCTTTTTCATTCGTTGTGATGAGCACTTATAATAATAATATATATCGAACTTATTCTACACTTTATCATCATACTGATAAAAATTGAAATAACGAGTGTGACAGTACGATAATTTCAGAGCAGACATTGATGATTACCTACATAATTGGTCGTGAAATTTCACGAATTGATGAAAATTATCTAACAGTTGTTGAATTAATTGATTGTAATAATGGGCACTATATCGAGTCGTCACTAGACTTATTAAATTGATCGATAGAGATAAATCTCATTGATTAGTAGGTATAGTGAATCCATCGGAATGTTAATAGTTAAAGTACAATTAGGATTTATGAGCCGATGGAAAATTTATTGGTTTCATATAAATCCATCAGATTTAGACCGATTGTTTCGGTATTAGTTCAAGCGATAATCCTCTTTTTTTTACTATTTTTTTTCATCTTTCCGAGAGCACAAAAAGCAATATTCAAAGGTGGAATGTTTTCTCTAGATTATTTGGGGTATTCTTTCCTCGTTTCTACAAATAAAAATATTTCAATAAGTGTAAACTACTGTTCAAAACTGAAAATAAAATTATTGCTAATAAAAACAAAAGATTATATATACAGTGTTCTTTATGTTTGTGAAAAGTGTTACAAAAAGAATAAACATATATACAAATTAGCTGAACCATATCCTTATTCATTTTATTTTCATTTGACGAATGTCATTAAGTACATGTCATATATGTAAATTAATTAATAAATTAACGAGGTATAATTCCTGATTCTGTAAAACACAAAATCCTCTTCGCGGAAACCAGTAGAGCGTATGTTCATTGTTCTGGCCAAGGACAAAGGATCTGCCCGATTTTCGTCCTTGCATCCAGGTCCTTTAGTCCTTTGTAACATTTAGCCTAGCAAGCACGTGGCAGTGTCTATAAACATATCGACCGGCGACGCCATATTGGAAAACGTCATCAGTATTCGATCTCAACGTGGGCGGTGTTGTCAAACTGTCATCGAATTTTCATTTGTTTTTGCGGTAACACAAAATGGACAATAGTCAGTTCTGTCCGTTATACAAGGTGATTCATTAAGAATGGAAAATCTCTGAACTACAGATAGTAAACACCAAAATACGAAGGTTTAACCCAACATGCTTTATAGAAATGTTGTGGAGAGAAAAGTTTCCTTACTTTTGGTCGAACATTCATTTTAACATTCTGTTTGTTGTTGGCGTTGTAAATGACTGTCTTTTTTTTCCACTGTCACTTCGCTAACTTTATGATTTAAAATTGCTTAAATGTTATAAGTGGACCATAAATCTCTTCAAGAGCGAATACCGCAAAAAACGTTAGAGCTGGGCAATATGAGTAAATTTTTTATGTGAAATTGAACGTGCTTTCAGATTTTTCACTTATTTACCGAAGTAACAGACTGCCACTAGCGCCCTCTATAAGCAATCACAAAATAAGCTGCAGATCGTATTCCTCACGACATAAAACCTGAAACTATGTTCATGTTGTTGAAACTTGAAAGTTATTGAGAAATTTTAAAATGAAATCTCCCCCTAGAACACCCTGTATCTCCTAAACCAGCAACATTCAGAGATTTTCCATTCTTAATAAATCACCCTGTATATCTGAAATTACTGAAACTGAAATTTCAAACACGAAAAATATAAGTAATCAACTTTCATTCTATAATCTATATCCTCCGTATTTCTTCAAAATTGCAGATCGAAGTACATTTGGGAACTCTAGATTCGACAAGTGATGAAAAAATAGAGGATATCCTATTCCTATAATCCTATAAACAATAACTACTATAACGAGAATGAAATAAAATGAAAAAACTCAGTCAATAATAAAAATGTGAAATGAAACAAAATAAATACCTACCTACCCTGACAAGAATAAAAGGTGAATTCTTAATTCTTATATACAGGGTGTCCCAAAATTGCTGGGACACAGAGCTACCACGTGTAGAGGAGGTCAAAATAAGTTGATTGGACCCAATTTATTTATGTGCCAAAATGTACCGTTTGTCCGTGAGAAGGGTTCAAAGTTCTCTTGAAAAAACACATTTTTGTACGCTGTTCAGGAATAAGTGGAACGAATTTGATGAAATTTGGCAATAGTGTATTTCAGAGGATTACTTTCCTTTTGGTAATCTAAGAAACCTAAAAGAAATTGTAGAAGGGTTGAAACCACCCTCACCCCCTGACTTTTTCTTCAGAACTTTTTTAAGGGTCATGATACGGTTCTGAAATTTTTTGAGCTTGAAGACTCATCAATTACCTTCATTTTATCACTCTTGTAAAAATTTTGTATACCAAATAGTTCCGACGAAAAAAAATGTTCTCTCAAATAATGCTACCATATATTCCTATAGTAATGGTACCCGCGGTAATAACAAAATTGAAGCATTTATTGAAACATTTACAGACAACGTCAACAACAAACTTGAATGACAATAAATTTGTTTCCTGTCGAAATCACGACTTGCCTGCGTTTCCACTGCCAACTAAGTTTTATATCACAATTTAATTAAACTTGTACTATAGGAATATCTGGTAGCATTATTTGAGAGAACATTTTTTTTCTGAAACTATTTGGTATACAAAATTTTTACACGAGCAATAAAATGAAGGTAATTGATGAGTCTTCAAGCTCAAAAAATTTCAGAACCGTATCATGACTCTTAAAAAAGTTCTGAAGGAAACGTCAGGGGGTGAGGGTGGTTTCAACCCTTCTACAATTTCTTTTAGGTTTCTTAGATTACCAAAAGAAAAGTAATCCTCTGAAATACACTATTGCTGAATTTCATCAAATTCGTTCCACTTATTCCTGAACAGCGTACAAAAATGTGTTTTTTCAAGTGAACTTTGAATCCTTCTCACGGACAAACGGTACATTTTGGCACATAAATAAATTGGGTCCAATCAACTCATTTTGACCTCCTCTACACGTGGTAGCTCTGTGTCCCAGCAATTTTGGGACACCCTGTATAGTGAGCACGTAAAAATGAACCAAATTCATCAAAAGTTTGATGATATGTAAATTGGGAAAGAAGCTCAGACATGTCAATCATTGTCTTTTTCAGATGCGAATTCGTTGGTCTACTCATATTCTTGCTGAAATGATCATCATTATAAATTACATTATTATGGATGAAATCAAAGAACGTACTAGATTATGGAGGTTTTCTCTGTTGTATTAGCGTACTAAGCAAGATGTAATAGTAATAGAATTTGTACAATTGTAATAACATTTCCAACGCATAGAGATTTCTGAGGAACATCTCACGTGGAAGTTTCAAAAGAAAAGTGAAAGGTCACCGAATATACGTTGGTTTCGTGACAATGGCAACGTTGCATGCAGTGCAGCAGTGTGAAATTCTCTTTGTTCGGTCCGTTCGATTGCATTTTGTCAGAATTGTTTGATTATTTCTCGGAATCCCAGAGACCAGCTAGAAAAGGTATGCAATTTGCGTTCACCATCGACGGATAATTTCATGCTAACGAAACTTGGACTGCCCAAGGTCATGCAATGATACAGCCAATAACATGCTAGTTTCAACTATTCCGAAGGATATGTTGTGCCTAGTTTGATCGAATTGATGTTGATTGTCGAGCCCTGAGGCCGTACCGTGTATCAAATGATCAGAGAAACACTTGCCCACTGGCTTGGAGAAGAAAAATCATCCGTCCAAAACAATTACTTCGATATCCTTGGGCGCAAATTTCAAATCGGAACGTTATTTATTGCTACTAAAGCTCTGGACTTGGAAATGATGGTAGGTATACCTACAATCTCGCTTATTGATATTGAGCTGTTCTGTAATTTCAGAAGACAATACATATAATTTCGCCTCATGCTCAAGTACATAAAATAATAAAGCTTGTATAGGTATTTGTTTTACGTACAATTTGAGAGTGGGATATTATTATATTATCCGAGTTAATAGAAACTTTAATGCATTTTCAAGAGTTTATTGGAGATTAAGGACTAACCAGACCAAGTTATTCTGTCCGATTTTAGTATCATAATAAAACAGTGATAAAATCTTTAATGGAAGAGGTCACCAAGCGACCAAACATAACGGACTGTGAATATAGATCTCTTTGAAACACTAGCACTTTCC